CTGCGTGCGCTGCACGTTTCCCTGGCCATCTTTCCAGTTTGGATTCGCAACTAGAGAAAATTTTCAAACTACAACTGCAGTTCGATTGCACTGAAATAAAAGTGGCTATCAATGGTCATTTTAACAACCGTAGAATAATCTTTTTGTGTGTGTGTGTCCTCAGGGTTCTTTGCATTTTTAAATTCCATTCTGGTTTTTTATTTTCCTATTTACTCAAAATATCGTTTAGAAATTGCACAAAAGAGGCGAAACTTTTACAAAACAACACAGACAGAAAACACTGAAAAATTAGATTAAGAGACATGGGAATTTTGGCTTGCACAAGAGAGGTTATATTTTCTGAAGATAATATTCAAACGAAAGGTGATGGACTACTTTAACATATTAGCTTCACATGTGAGCAAAGAAAGAAAGTGTGTATTTTTAAAAATGGTGATTACCGTGTCCCTAAGAATTAGAGCTATTTATTAATTCTTTCACATTGCAGATAAATAAAATTTGCTTACTAAAATCTAGTTCTTGAGGAATGTAGCTTTATGGCTTTGTCATCAAATATGCCTGACATCTTATTTTTATATATTCCAGGGAACCCGAGGTCATATCAACAGTGGGTGCACACAGTCAAGGTAATGATAACGCTTCGACGTTTCTTCTTTCATTCTAGATGAACTGTGTTTGGTGAAAGTATGTTTATTGGCAATATTTGAAATGTTCGTATATTTCCTTCCATTTAAAAATTTTTATGCTCGTAGTTTATCGATAGTCATAAATATAATTTTAAAATGGAAAGCCTTTGTCTGGAGATAAATGGCTTGTTTTGAAAAGCAAGGTTTCACTGTCACCTTGTGTTACATTCCAGAACAAGGAATTAGGTGGAATAGTAGGATTGGATGGGTATTTTTATCATTTCTGATAATGCGTTTTGGTAATATGATTTTTTTAATATCAAACTCTCTTCCACAAATTGAGACTTTATCGCCCAACATTAAATAGTTAATTAACAATTAAATGTATTCCTTTTTCATTAAGCTTTATATATATATACCTATTACTGGTCATATTGCCCAAGTCTGCCTAAACTGCAAAGATGAAATGATTTTTAAATGGTGATTACACCGACCTAACCAAAAACAGAGTAGAATGTGGACATTTTGTGTGAAATTACTGTGGTAGATAAAAGCCCGAAAACACTGAACATGAAATAATTTTCGTAGGTCTTTGTTTAACTGGCGAGTAAAGCTCTTTTTCTATTCTATTACCGATGCTTTGTTTTCAGGAAAATCTGGCCCCCAAATTTTGGAAATAAGTTTCTGTTTTTCGTTTGCAGAAAGGAGGCGCACTGTTCAACTCCGCAGTCACCAAAGCAACTCCCGCAGTACGAACAGCGTATAAGTTCGTAAGTTGTCTTTTGATATTTGAAACTTCTACTGATAAAATTTTACATTTTCCCAGTTGTTAGACATGTAAGTCTCGAGTATTTTTTATTTTCCTTTTAAATAAGATTTTTAAAATTTAGAGTTAATATTGACCAAAGGAAATTCAAATATTAAAATGATATCCTTGTATAGAGAGGATATTTTATTTCTATGATCTAAAGACGGTCCCTCATTTTATTTCAAATCTACTAGCCACATTGTGCACTCAGATCGAAATAGTCCATGAGGAAGTGCCATTTTTTAAGATTTGTTTCTTTCGTCTGACACCATATCTGAAATTCTTATTGTATACTTGAGGCTCAGGTCGATTAAAAAATAAAACAAAACAAAACAAAAACCCCAGAAAACTATGACCTGTTGTCCTTCCACAAAGATGCTTTGACTCTCCGTATTTAAAATTCTTCATCGATTCTCCATGGCTTATAGCAGAACAACAGTAACAACAACAATAGCAACAGCAGTAAATAAATAATTAACAAGATGAAATCTCTTTCCTGTGATAACAAAGACCCTCGAGACCTGGCTCCTCCTGTGTCCTGGTCCATCTTGGGGCATCTTTATCTCTAATATTAGGCCAGAAGCTTCTTGAGGGAGGAGCTGATGGCTTGGTATTCAAAAAAGTTCTTTTAAATTCAATAGGTTATATATATTCTATATTTCTAAAAAATATCCAGGGCGGTAGTTTCGATTGTATGAGAATCCGCCTTCAAAGGCTTTCTTTTAAAGGAACCGATGTGATTAAATTAATAAAAGAATAATATATGGTGATACAGTTAGAACTTATTTTCTTGACTTTCGATTCGGTATATGTGTAGCCACCATTTCTGTTCTAAAACATCTGTTTCAAAGATGACATTTTATAGAGAAGCTAATCTACACAGTGGATTCAAAAATACACAGAAACAGACTCATAGATACAGAGGACAAACTGCCGGCTACAAATTGCCAGTTACAGAACAGTCACGGGGATGTAAAGTACAGCACAGGGAGTATGATCAGCAGTATTGTAGTAACTATGTATGGTGTCAGATGATACTAGACTTATCGGGGTGATCACATAGCAAGGTGTATGAATGTCTGATCGCTGTGTCGCACGCCTGAAACTAATATCATATTATATGTTAACCGTAATTGAAAAATAAATTAAAAAAAAACAGAAAAAAATGAAATAATTTGATATATAAAAATTAAAAAAAAATACAGCACCCAAATTCTGAACTATTTGAAGCCTCATCATAAAGCAGAAGAGGAGGAGGAGGAGGCCATCTTGCCTTGGGAAGATCAGCCTTTGCTACCCAGAAAACCTCTCCGAGTAGATCACTATCTCACTATGATATTGGTGATTTATATACGTTTTTTGAAGAGATTTTAATTTCTCAATAAAATAGCACATAGCTGCCATATGAAAAACCAAATTGATGTTGAGCCTCATTTCTCACATTCATTTAAGATTCGAAGAAAAGGTTCGTGGTCAGCAGCCCTTCATTTTGTTCCTTGACTGAACACGCAAAGTCTTCCTTCAGGCTTAGAGAAGTTATGTTGTATTATTTTGCTAAATATGTGTTTTTCTTCTTAATTTCACTCATATCTTCCATAAAAGCACAAAGATAAAGCAAACATGTTCAAAACCTCATTTATTATTTAAATTGTTATCCTAATCGATAGAGTATTTTATTCTGAACTGTTCTCTGCAGAACAGCAAAATGTTTCTAAGTTAAAAATTCTCTTCTTTGGAAGATTGTTCTCTAAGTTACCTTTGGGCAAATTAAGGTCTTCAGAAGGTACTTGATACTTTAACATTTATTTTGTGATCATGTCATACATGAATCAAGAAGTTTGGGACAAGTTGTGCCTAAAACTCATCTTCGCAGAGAGCTCATATTCTGAAATATGAACTCTGAAATTCCTCCTCTGAGTACAAATTGCTATGAACAGAACTCCCGATTTTTCTTGCATGGGTATAACAGAATGTATCGACCTTGTTTTTCTTTAGATAGTAAAATTTTAAAAACTGGGAACCATGTTTTTAACTGTTTCATTCATTGAACAAATTATTCGAGTGCCTCTCATGACCTAGGCCTTGGACTGGTTATGGTTGTTACAGCAGTGAGTGTGACAGGCGCTGTGAGTGACAGAGGTGCTGTCCAGGCTTTTGTACGTGCATTGCCATCGTCGCTTTGCTCTGTGCTCCGCTCACTACGGAAGTCCTGAAGAGGCATCTGTTAAAGGAAATAATGGCCTCGTCCTATACTGAGAATGTTTTTCCTATGCTGTCTACGCTTGCGTTTTCTGTGCTTACAGAGACTGGAAAGAAAACTAGAGTCGATATGCGCACTCGCTTACAAATCTAAAAACGATAGCACTGTAAATACATACTTGATTTTGCCAAAAGATTTTCTAAGTCAACGTTCTTCATTAAGTCATTTTAACGTATGAGCCAAAGCTATTCGCTGGGGCTTTTCTGTAGAGAATAGTTGTTGATCGGTAAGTTTCAACTCGGTAAATTGAAAAGGATGGCGAGGACCCAAACCCCATCTTCCGGAGCCTGAAAGAGGCCAGTGAGGGAGCAGGGAAACGGACGTTCAGAGGAAGCAGAACACGAATTACAGGACCATGACTGCTACTCGATTCTACTCCATAGACTCGGGAGCATCCAAAAGGATTAGTGTGAACAGGGTGGATTTTGAAAGAATAGAGACTATTTAGGTAAACTAGAAAATAGTGCGAATGTGAGTTAAGATAGGTACACGTTCTAGGAGACGGGAAAGGGAACCGTTTTGGGTAATTATTTATTTTTACCTAATGAGAGTGTAGGAGTTAAAATAGGACCCTTTACATAGATTCGGTGGCTATACCAATAAAACAAAGAATGTGAAAATGTTTTATTCCAAAGCACCAGGGAAATACAATTTCGTGCTCCCTGGCTTTTTAGATGATCTTTTGCTGTGTATAATATGTCTTGGTTTTGCCTCATTTGTTTTTTTCTAAAGAGTACGAACAGTTAGCAATTTTCATGAAACGAGATCTCGCGTACTTATTTCTTTCAATGGTCACAGAACCGCGCTAAGCCAGACACTCGTATTATCATTTTCCAGGCGAAAAGTCACGCGAAGCAGGGAATCCGGGAGGTGAAGAGCAAGCTAAAGCATAAGGTACGTCACAGGCTCCTCTCCCTTCTCCCTGGATTCTTGCATGAGTTCGAAGTTCATGCTTTACAGATCGCGCGACGTGAATGGTGTGAACGACTTTTGAAACAGGCTGAACCCCGGAACGTCGTTTTCATAACGAGCCCTCTGGCCTCCCCTCGTCACCCGATGTGCACCCGCCGACTGATCTCTTTCCTGTTTGCATATTTTATTGCAGAAGAAGTATGGAGAGGTTCACAGACGCTCTGACAGGATGTGTGTTTTCATAAGGTTGAGTGCCTCGCTATCACAATGGAAATTCTGGCTTCGAGCTGAGAATTTTTTTTTAAAAGAGATGATTTTTTGGGGTGCAGAATTAAGTCTCAGATGTCATCGTTTGGTTTTATAGGATCATTCCGATAGCGACTGCTTTAAATTGAAGCATGTTCTTAATTTGCAAAAGTTTGTGTTTGATGATGTGTATTTGAATCTATAAGTGTCGCGTGTGTATCGGTATTAATGTGTATGTACACGGGTGTTTGATTTGATTACATATTACGTCGTGGTAGATTTTTATCAGCTGTTGCGTTTTGAATGTCTGCCTTTGGAGAAAAAATTACTACTGAAAACTTCCATCGTAGTGATAGAGAGCAAATAATCTTCATCTAAATTTTATTCAGATCATTCAAAATAGTAAGAGATTATTGTGGAAACTATTAATTCATAATATAGAAAAAGGCAGTATTTTCCCTAATGGATTCTTTAAGCTTATACCTGACGTCTTATTTTGTTATATGCATCTGTGTCAGATACGCTGTTGATTAATCAATAACTTCAGTCATCAAAGGAGCATTTGATAATAATTACCTGTCTATCTCTTCCCGTGTAGGAAAATGAGGACGATTATGGGCCCTATGCTAGTTCTGTCCAGTATACACCTGTCTACACCTTACACAGCGAGAAGGGAGGGAGCGTGGAGAAGCGTAAGCTCACCCAGGTGAGTGCGTTCGCTCGGCATCTCCAGATTCTGCCGCTGTAATTCCAGTGCTTCAAGAGTCATTTTGGCCCCATTAACTTTTTTTTTACCTTATATTAAGAAAACCAACAACTACGATCAAGGAGCTGAGAAGGTGGCCTCTGGGCGGGCTGGGCTGGGAGATTTGGGGACAAGCGTTCCAGATGTCATTTCCACCTGCTTTATCAAGTCGGAGCTCACAGTCCCGTGAGGGGAGAGGCAGTCAGATGTGCGCTTGCCACAGAGCGCGGGAGTGTCGATGATGACAAACATAAGATGAAACTCATATGTGGCACTTTGACCATTCAAATGATCGGTAGAAATTAGAATATGAACTAATGAATATCTATCTTTTTCTAAAGTTAAGATGTTTTATTTGCTATAAATATTTAAAGCCTCTGCATATACGCTGGTGCTGTTTAAAATAGTGCCCCAAAGTTGGAAGGTGTTCAGAGTCATAGCTGTACGTGTCTCTGAGTTCGCATCACAAGTATGTGTCTGAAGGTTTTAACAAAGCCAAATCGTATTTTAAGTGGCCTAGGGAAACCAGCTTTGACAAAGAATTCTCAAATGTCGGAACTGGAAGCAGCTGCAAAGCTTCATTGATTACAGCCACCAAAGGTCACAGCCAAGGAGGTCAGCACCGGAATGGCCACGTCCCTCACTCAGTCTCCCAGCTGGTGAGCGGCAGGGCGGACGGGAACCCACATCCGACGCTGCGGGACGTGCAGACATGGCAGGAGCTGCGGAGAGGTGGCCCTGCGGTGTGTCCCCATGGACTAGGAACGGAGCTGGCCGGCAGGGCTGGGCTAAAACCCTAACTTTTGTATGGAAGCCACTTCATTCGGTCATTCAAGACCTGCGCTGCCCTAGGCACTCTTCTACGTATTCGAGGGGAAAAAAAAAAAAATCTCTGCCTTCATGGGACTGTTTTTATAGCATCCTAAGGGCCGTCTCTATGGTTTACCCATTTATTAAGCTT